AGATCCCCCGAAACCCTAAACCCGGAACCGGTGCACTTGCGGGAGAGTTTGAGCAGGCGGAGGAGCGAGGCAGGGATCCTCCGGCCCTAAACCTTCGGCCCAGAAGCCACAAAACACTTGAAAGCAGCGTGCTCAAAACCCTGAAAATCCTTGAACCTTTCAACACCAAGACGACCAAAACGAACCCGGAGTCCTGAGAGAGAGCACGTGGAGTTGCCTTGTCTGGAGGCTTGGGCCATCTCGTTGCCGGGAGCTCATCAAGGGCAGCTGAGCGTTTATATGCGTGTTACATATTAGATTAACGTATGCAAAATCCGCCAGGTGTTGGTTGGCATGTGAAGGGTGTTGCAAGGGCTTGTGTACAGGATCTATGCGGGCTTTGGTGGGTTTAATGTAGGGGCCTCCATAATTGAAACAGGGGATTTTCGAGTATGTTGTCATAAAGGGATGATGATTCTGAGGCAGACCTCTATGTTCAAAAAGTGTGGGTTCTTACAACCCCGAGTAAGAAACCCAAACGGTTAGGGATTAGGTTTCAGGGTTTAGGGTTCGACGCCCCTTCTCGCGAATCTGCTCCATCATGAATTAGGGGTTGTTGAGGGTTGAGCGCAAAAGGTTAGAGTCTAGAGGTTTCAGGGCGGCGCCTCTCTCAAGCCGAGGATTTGGGGGTTTGCAGGGTTTGCCGCAAAGGGCATGCGGGCTTAACGTTCAAGCTTCAGGGCTCGGAATTGAGGGACGCAGGGTTGAAGTCTAAGGGCGTGAGGTCTTAGACACGAACTTGGAATCTGAACGGCACACAGGCGTTTAGCTGCCCTGTCGGGTTCCTTGTGCTCTACTTATAGCAGCTTGATGGAGAAAAGGTAGCGCTCATCATGTCCGCGATCCCCGTAGCTCCAAGCTAAGACCGGAGCCCCCTGGAAGACCTGAACGTCTAAGCGACAAGATCCCGTGAAAAAGTAACTCAAGATCTTTTGTGGCCACATGGTAACACACGAGACCACAGGACACCGGAGACAAAAAGAGACTAGAGACAACAGCCGGTTATGATGACAGGTTGGGCAAACAACAAACAACATGCAACAAAAGGATCAAACGCAAAAAATCTCAAGCCCTCAGCCCAGGGCCCCGTCCCTCGACACAGCAACCCCAAAACCCAAGCCAAGCCTAAGCGCCTGAACATCTTGCAGTCACGGTGCTCAAAGTCGCCTCGTCACTGGCGGGTTCGCCTGTAGTGGGGGCGTAGGAAGCCTTCTTCTGCTGGTTCGGTCGCCTTGTTGTGTTGAGGATGATTGGGTGTAACTTAGGGTTTAGGGCTAATGCTCTGGGTGGTTTAAGATTTCGACTCGGGGCTTCGGATGCATGGACCCGTCTGTGGCATCCAACCGTCGGCAGCAGCCTTGATGAGGAGAACGACTTTGGCTTTGGGATATACTTATACTATACTTGCCTAGTGTGACTATGGATGCGATTCGTATTTCTTCAAAAAACCCAAAACGCAGGCTTGACCTCTCTGGACCAGCCCCCAAGCCTTTCGTTCCTACACCCCTGTACCCCAAACCTCCAAGGCATCCTAAACACCGCACCCTCATTAAACCCAAGATCCTGACACCTACCCCTCGGTCTCTCCTTCCGCGCCTGGATCGGGCGCGCGGCTCGCCCGGCACTTCAGCAGCCTGGTCGTAGCTCTGTTCGGAGTACCCACGCAAAGAGATCAACAAACGCTTAGACATCTTGTTAGATAAACACGTAGACAGATAGACGGAGGGACAGGTAGATAGATAGACACACAGCGAGATAGAGAGCGTGTGCAAATATTACAGATACATAAACACACATATTTATATTTACCGAGGAACTTGTGCGCATCAACGCATCTGCAAGATCAATATCAATATCAGAGTATAATTATAGGTATTCGCGAACGGAGATACATACAGAGAGAGTATTGGACAAGAATCAACGGACATGACGAGCAAGCTGTATCAAACAGAAAAACAGACGCGACAGCGATGCAAATCGGTGACACACACACGCGAATAAATTAGCAATGATGAAGAGTGATATGCAATGCTACATGCCAGTACATGGTACACATGTAAAGTACAATTTTACATACACGGGTGGGATGCAGCACTAGCAAGCAGAAGCTAGGCCACCCTATCACTCGATGAAACGCATCAGGCCCCATGTTCAGAAGACCTTGAGGACGTGCTGCAAAAGCCCTAGATCGAGGTCGCGAGGTGGCGAAGAAACTTCTTCCTCGCTAGTGACTCCTTGTCGTCGTAGTGGTAGCAGTAGCAGTAGTAGTAGTAGTAGTAGTAGTAGTAGTAGTAGTAGTAGTAGTAGTAGCAGCAGGAGTAGTAGTAGTAGTAGTAGTAGTAGTAGTAGTAGTAGTAGTAGTAGTAGTAGTAGTAGTAGTAGTAGTAGTAGAGCAGCACCAGTACTGTAGCTAGTATCGAACTTAAAATACCTAGGCCTACGCAGGCCCGAAACCGTAAGCCGCCAAACCGTGAACCCCCAAACCCCGAAACCCTTGAACCCTAGCGAGCCTGAGGCCTTCGAAGCAGATGGCCATGCCGAGGCGCACAGGGCCGGGGGCCACAAACAGCTAATGAACCCTTCAGTTTCCGCTTGTAGGGTTGTGGGGTTTGCGGCTGGGGCTTTCGTGCGTTAAGTTTCAGGGTTTAGAGGGTCGGCCAGTCCAACCAGACCATGCTCGATTGTTACACAACACCCATTCCCTAAACTCTAAACCCCCACAATCGCCGGGAATTTTAAGGGGGAATGATCTTGGGGGCTCGCCTGTGACCATCCTGGGCCGCGCGGCTCCGGCAGAGATTTCCGCAGGGTTCTTCGGTGTTTGTGGGTCTGGGCCTGGAAGGCTTCGAGAGTTTGAGATGCTGTGGGCCGCAGGGTTGGTCTACTTTGGGGCCTACTCGGGCTAGGGCTTAACGACTGGAGTTTGGAGTTTAGGGTTTAGGATCTTGGGTGCAGGGCTTGAGGCTTTAGGCAATTGGGTTGTAAGGCTTAGGGCTTTGGGATAGTGTTTTAGGGCTGTCAGATTTAGGGGTGAAAGGTTTCGGCGTTAGGGTTCGGTCAATGAAGCTCCCAGGGCCCTTCTCCTCCAGCTCCACCGATTTTCCATCGTGGCCGTCGAAGACCTCGAGTCTTGGCTCCCTTACCCTAAACCCGACAGCTGCCTTCTTTGTCAAACTTGGCTCGACTTCAGCAATCCCCGGCGCTTACTCCACCAAGAATGCTTGGACCCCGCCTGAACCACTCACAACTCCCGAGCTCGCCCGAAATTGAAGCCCCCGAGCCTCTAAATCCCCCTGCAACCCAGAAAAAATCAGCGCCATCAATCTGAGCAAAGCTCAGGGCTTGGACTTCAGCGGGTTCCAGGTTTTGGAGGTCACGGCTTCCGGATTTAAAGTTCGGGGGCTTTGGGCCGGTAGGGTCCGGGACCTTTGCCTGCGGGCGCTCAGGAGTTGAGGGTTTGCGTTGGGTCTCAAGGTTGCTTGCTTCCCAGTATAGCAAACCAACAAAAAACATAATGGCGTAAGCATCGAATACAGTACAACATAATCGAACATCATAAGAGAGAATTCATCCGCCTGGATCCTGAGCGGCGTCACCAAGACCACCCTGTACCGGTTGGCCTGCTGGATTGTGGGCTCTGGGCCTTGACTTCTTCTGCGGCGCAGGGCCTTGGCCCTGTGTTTGAGCTGGGGTTCTTCAGGGGGTTTCAAGCTCTGCCGAACTCCCCAAACCCGTGAACGAGAACCCTTGCAAGGTAAGGCCCAACCCTAGCAACTTCAGCCCCGCACCCCGGCCAAGTCCATCCATAGGCGAGTCACAACCCCGCTAGAAAGCACCAGAGCACCTGGCATGACACCTACTCAAGAGAAGCGCAACCATCAAAAGCCAAACAATCGAAGCCTTTGAAAAACAACAGTGGGCCGGCAAATAGAGAGAACATAACGGGCATAACATGATCATTACTGATCATGAAGAGTACTATGGTTAGCTTGAGTTGAAGCATGTCTTCGGTTTCGGATGTAGCATGCGATGCTCATCGTTCTCATTCGCAGTATACTCCATGTGTAGATTATGCACTATGTTATAGTCATATTACATGTCATGATATCCAGTTGTATTCCAGTCGGCAGTCTGTGGCACTTCGGGCCTCGGGGCCCTCCAGGAGGATGCTGCCCAAGGAGGGCCCACGGCGGCCCTCAAAGAAGCCGGGGGCCGGGATTAGTCTTTTTGTCAAGATGACTTTGGTACTTAGAGGCTTCTTCGACTTTAGCTTAGAGCTGAGAGGTTTCTTGAGCAGACTGAAGCTCGGCTTCGACTTTTCGGGGGCCGGGGCCTGGGGTGTGGCGGATGTTAGGGTTTAGGGCCTTTAGGCCTTTAGGGAAACCCATGGCTCCACAGTTTTTTTGTGGGGAGTGGAGTCTCTTCTACTCTGCCCCAATCGCAACAAAGTAGCACCGTAATCCCAATACCCGAGCCCACTCAGGTGTCGGCAGCAGCTTCTTCCCCGAAGCTGGTGGCAAGCGGCTTAGGCGCACTGTTGCCAGCACCCATGGCTCTGCTTTTATCCCCGATTGAAGACTCCCGTTTAAGGCATCGACGATGCAACTGGTGACTTGGTGGTAGGAGGGGGTGATGTCCTTCGCGAAGGATTCTTTTGTCGGGAGGGAGTTCTCTTGTAACAACGGCTTCTGCCAGGTGCGGCAACTGCGACTGCTTTCGCAAACGAAACCGTCTCAAAGGAGTGTTGCAGACTTTGTCGAGCTGCTGTGGGTTGTCAATAGAGCCTCCATGAAACGGAGCCTCGTACAAAAACGTGTGACGACCGAAGATCTTGCTAACTCCGCGCTAGAAGCCACAAAAACGCAAGCACCAAAAACAGGCTCCAGGGCAGAATGCAGAGACCGTCTCGTGCAAAGTTCGGCCAGGTGCTTGATTTTCTCGAACGCCATGGCATTCTGCTCTCACAAGCTCTCGACTGCATCCACTGGAAAGCCGCGATGTAGCACCATGGTTCCCACCAGATTCTTGTATGCCTAAGACACTCGCGCCATCACAGGAATCGACAAGAATCTTATCAATCTGCATGGTCCCTATCCCTCTCCCTCCCTTGCTTGGACAGAAGGGCCTCCTTCAATGCCTACGCTTTCATCACACCTGCGCGAGTCTGCAGAGTTCTAAGAGAACGATGCTGACAGGAGGCTCCCGGACCGTCAAGTCTCTCAAAACATAGCCATCACAGCAAGAGTCCTACAGGATAAACATCGACTCCCTCCCTGGTACAATGGCCCAACTCCCACCATGTGTTCCTTCTCCTCTCTCTCGCATATCATCTACTGTAACCGAGTGTAATAGAATGAAACATGATCTCTCTCTCTCTCTCTCTCTCTCTCTCTCGCATCATTTCGACAGGCATGCCCCCAAGTCTGAAAACGCCTTGGCCTGAACCCTCAACATGCAAAGCCATAAATCTCCAAGCAAACACCAACACCACTCGGCCTCTGCCCATAAGCCTAAACTCCAGACCGCACGAAAAGCGTGACTCTGAACCCCAGAGATAAGCCCCTTTGATCCAAACTTTGCATGTCGCCGAGAGTCGCAGCCCCGCACCATGTGCAGCGACCAGTCTGTCGTTGCACGTGGCTGAAAATGCGCCAAGAGCGTCTCTTGCCTCGCTCGCTTTAGCCACTTATATACGGGCCTTAAGCATTCGATAGGGTTTTGGCGCATATTGTGCTGTTCATTACAAAGAATTAAAGGGCCGGGCGTGCAGGAGTTTGGCGTTGAGGGTTCGATAAGACCTTGAAAGGCTTGGGGCTTGGGGTTTACCACGAACCCTAAACCCTCCTTTTCAAAGCTTAGACGAGAAAGCTCGATACAGGGGGTCCCAGTATGAAATCCCGCGAAAGGAAAGGAAGGGGAGCTGCGTTTTGGGTTCTCGGGCCGCCAAAGATCGATTTTCCTGTCTTGACGAGGGGCAACTCGAAGAGCAAGGCATCATGAAAAACGACAACCTGAGGGAGCAGCTGTCAGCTAGGATTTTCGGGCTTCGGGGATGTTTTTGGGGTTTTGAGAGTTCGGGTTCAAGGCTTCTGGGGTTTAGGGCTTTTGCACTTCGGGCGGGGGCGCAGGGTCTAAAGTTTAAGTACTGGGTTCCATATCATATCTTCAAAATTCAGTTGAAGACTCCGGGATAGACCCCGACTTAGATGAATACCAAACCTAAACCCTCAACCCCTAAGCCCCATCAAGCTTAAACAACCCAATGCAACTCCCAGCAGCTGCTGCTGAAGCCATGTACGGCTCGATGGCACCAAAATCCATCATCATCCTCGTGAAGCGTCAAGGCACACATACGTGCACATCAAAGAAAACTACTACACATACGTTTGCTCTTTTGCACCTGGCCCTTGGCCCATAGCTGTTCCGAATCCTTTCCTTCTCGGCCTAAACTAGTGCTAGAGCACAACATGTTAGAGACATCGAGTTTGCTCTAGAAACGCCTGAACCACAGTACTGAACCATCCCAACGTCGTCGTAGACACCACTGGTTGCTCGAAACAGGTCGAGGCACTGCTCAGTCTCATGCAAGCCATCCACGAAAGCCAGGTCGTATTGCCCGGATCGCATCGCGGCAGACACATCCTTCTCAGCACTGCATCGTTCATACGCGATTCCAGACCAAGAAAGTCGACAACAAATTGCTGAATCAACACCAGTATCAAACTCACAATCGGAGCAATCGAAGTGAAACACTATCCTACCATCATCAGAGCAAGATGCCCAGAGCTCCAAACCCCAGGACTGACCTGAGCCTAGCTCGGTGTCCTCTGGGGAGATGCCTTTGGTGACCTGAACATCCAGCCCCTGCGCCGCAGCCACTCGGCGCGTCAGCCATGAGCCGGCGTGGCCGCATGCCTCGCCATTTAATAAGGACCACTAGGTATATACCCTTAGTATAGCTATTATATACCCATTATATAGCCCATTATATGGTGCGGCCAAGGTTTAGTGTACCGCTCTTTCCTTTCTGCACAGTAGTTTGCGAGGAACCTGCTCTTTCTCTCTATGTAAATACATACCCACTGTATACACAAACGTGCATGTATGTATGTATGTATGGACTGATGGATGTATAGGTATATAATACGTATATACAGATATAGACAGGAGGATAGATAGCCAGATAGATAGATAGGGCACTACATGGACAAAGAGATGGATAGAGACGTGCCAACCCACCACCACACCACAGCACACCACACGGGGGAGAGGGGGTGGTTAAATAACCCAAACCTCACCTCACCACAGAGGGACGAGGGGGTTAAACCGGGGCGGGCCGAAGAACACAGACCACAGGGGAGGGCACGCGCGCCCCACACCACAGGCAATAAAGAGACCAAAATTTTTGACATGCGGGAGGTGTCAGGGGGGTACCCATAGGGGGTTTGGGGAGGGTCGGGCGACGCTGCACCATATATCTACGCGTACACTGTGGGTTTAGGTTGTTTAACCCCGCTCGTCCCCCTGTGGTGTATTGGTGGGTTTCGGGTTATTTAACCCTCGCTCTTTTGCCTTGCGGTGCGGTGTGGTGTGCTGTGGTGTGCTGTGGTGTGCTGATGTGTGCTGTAATGTGCTGTAATGTGCTGTAATGTGCTGTAATGTGCTGTGGTGGTGGGTTGTGTTTAATTCCCGAAGTGTGGGCACCCGCACGGTTATTTAACCCCCCCTCTCCCCCCCTGTGGTGTGGTGTGCTATGCTGTGCTGTGCTCTGCTGTGGTGGGTTGTGGGTTCCAGGTTTAGTGTTTTAACCCCTTTCCCCCCCCCTGTGGTGTGGTGGTGGGTGTTGGGTTTAGGATTTAGGGTTTGCACCCGCAGCCCCCCTGTAGGTGGTGGGGTTGTTTAGGTGTTTTGATATGAAAGGGTTTAGGACAGCTCGGCGCGGCGCAGACCGACACCATGGCCTATCCAGGTGAGTGTCGCCACTTTGGACACATAGCTTCAAAAGCACGACACTCAGGAAGATCGCGGGTTCGGGGGGCCAGCCCTGTGATTCTTGGCACTTTTGACAAAATTCACGGCCCTCACGAGGATACCATGGGGTGGGGTGGGGTACTACTAACAAGTGACACGGTACCATACATAGGGTATGCAGGGTACTTAATGCGTGTGACTGTTGCGCAACCTACGGTGAACATGCTCACGGAGACATATCTACATGTTTAGGAAGAGGTACAAACATATGTACATATGGCCGTACAGAGCAGAAACACATAACATATTATGAATATATATATATATATACACGCGCACATACATCTGCACGTGTGTGTGTGTTATGATGCATGTACACAAGTACGTAACAAATCGTACATGATCGATTCTACGTCCTGCATGTCATGATGCATGGCTTCGTCTTGCTCCATATACGAAACACCGCTACTCATATTCGTCATCCGAACAGTCGGTGATAGACAGTGCTTCCAAAGAGCATTTACAAGACCTGATCGATGCACTACCAATTGCGACAGCAGCCAAAACAAGGACAGTCACAATACCAACCTAAGTGCACAAAACCCCACCTCAAGTACAACAATCACGACGATGGCAAACGTAGCATTGGAAAACGAGACGCAACAGAAGCATCAAGCTTGCGGCTTACCAGGACCCAGGCATTCTGCTCTGCATCGATCGCATCGACGAGGCCGCCGGCACCTGCAGCAATACATGTCAACATGGCTTTCACATCCAATTTACAACGACCGCTTTGGACACATGAACCAGTCGCATGGCACGGCATGTACATACAGCTTTCTTCGAAACCTCTCCGCAGGCACCTTTCTCCGCAAAAAGATGTCCGAGGACGCTCGTCGAGAAGCCAAAAGAGTTCCTCATGAAAGCTCATCCCAAGAACGGCCCTCCACGGACAGCAACAGCACAGCACAAAAAAAACTGTGCATCCAGTCGAAACAGCGGACAAATTCCCTCGGTGGAACAAAGACGGCGCAGTTCGGAGCCAATGCAAAGAAGCCTCCCAATGATGAACACCCGCACAGCCGGTATGGACAGGACGACCCGCTTGAGCTGCAGAAACAACTCCACGTCAGCGTCCGTCATGCCCAAGTCCCACGATAAAAGTGTAGAGTTCTTGTGCCTGGCGATGCATTTGCATATCACCTGTGCAAGCGACCAGAGACAATCAAGGAGCAAAGGGCTGCGAAAGTACCTACTGCATCGCATGTTAGCATGCCCAGAACTGATAACTGACGACTGTGTGACGGGACAGCCAGAAGACGCAGCATAAGGATGGGCATACTCGCAATCCAAGGAACTTTAAAGGCAACCCGCTGCCAGCAGTTCAAGCTTCTGACCTTCCTACGACAACCTGCTCCGAGCACAGCCCTCAAAACCCCTCGCCTGTTGACTTTCTCGGACGGAGAAAACCTTAGCTAAGCAACTGCCAACAATCAAAACAGACAATGATAGCATCGCCAAAAGCATCCAGAGCAACGACAACAATATCTGAACCAGGCACGCAATCCAACTAGTTGCTGACAGCAACACAAGAGGCACCAAGTTCCGACGCGACAATACAGGAGCGGCAACAGTCAACATGGGAATAATCTCGAGAACAAGAGGATCAGTGGTGGTTCCAGCCGCCACAACAGTTGCCGGCTTCCAGACAGTTCACCCCGCTACCTGAAGTAGGTCAACGAACTTGACTTGCAAATTCGTAGAAATATCCCAAACAATCTCGCTTCAGCTCAAATCACAGGTCTCGAGAATAAGTGCGGCGTGGCAGCGTTCCATTCGGAGTCCTCTGTCCGAAGGCTGTGATAGAACAGTGAAGGCTCACAGCGTGCCAGCCTGCAGAAATGTCGCCGGCCGAGGGCTGAAGGTCGAAGCTAGAGCAACGATAAGTGCTGGCAACAACAGACATAAGTGCCATCATAAGGATAACAGCTACAACTTTTTCTGCAGCTCCACTGTTCCGCCTTGCTGATCTGGAGAATGGTGGCTGCCACAGTGTTCCTCGGTGCTGGAGGGCAATGTAGCTCACGGTGAAACACAACACAGTGAACGAATTCCGGCGAAGCCTCTGAGGGAGCTGACATATGTCCACCCAAGGCTCGCAGTGCTACGCAAGATCCAGCCTTGCCTCAGCACTGGAACAGCAACAGGCTCACCATCTCGTGTACAAGAGGATCGCGATGACCACTGCGACAAGACAAGTTTACTCATCGCTACTACACTAAACTAAGCTGACTGTTAAGACAACTCCGAAGGACCAAGACCAAATCGCTGCTTTGCCGAGCCCAGGTTCTGAAAGTACCACGTCTCAACCGTCCAAATGATTCCTGCAGAATTCACAGAACATCTACCGAAACATCAAACCGAAAGCTAGCCAGCTAAGGCAAAGTAGCATCCTATGCCTATGCCCGAGGCTAGAGCAGCAGTGCGGAAGAAATTAAATGGAAGCGACTCGGAAAAATCGTACCATCGACTGACCCGAGACCTCGGGTGTCAGGGCAACTGGCGTTGGATCGCACATCCTTGACATCCGTAAGCAGAAGCTGTCGAGCAGGCTGAGTGGCCCCCACTGCAGCGAATGCCTCCGCAAATCAAAAGGCACAAAGGGACGCAACAGGCTCATTGGTTTCGCGGCTGCTACACCGCGGCTGCACATAAGGGTCAACTGTTCTGAAGCGATGACAAAGGACAAAAGATGAAGAACAGCAAAGCATGTCCTGTTCAAAACTGGATGAGTGCTGCTTGTGTTGCTGCACAAATTACGAATGTGTGCCAGGGACAAAAGGCCGGATGTAATGCCCTTGCAAGAGTGGTCTACCCAAAACTATACAATCCTGCAAACAACCCAATAAAACCTGCTCTACGTATCAAGGGCCCCATAAACGATCCCCTTAAAGGTACCCTCAAAGGAAACCTCAAAGGAATCCTTTGAAACGACCCTTAGTGGAAGCAGAGCGCCTGCTTCGGCTGCAGCTCCTTTAGCACGAGGATCGCCGCTGACAAGGAACGGTGGCCCGAGGACGAAAAGCCTCACGGGGTTTTGGGTTGCGGGTATATACAAAAGCACAAAGAGATGCGGTGAACCACAAGGGGTATTGCATTTTTTGCAGTATCATTGCACGGGACAGAAGCTGAAGATTGAACTGAGGCATGTGTGCGACAGGCCGGGAGCACCGACAACGTCAGCCCCAAACTCTTCAAAGAAGAATCGAAGCCTCATATATATATATATATAACTATAACCCCAAACCCTGAACCCTAAATTGCAGCCTCCTCTCGAGAGATGCAGCTCAAACTCCGAAAGGTCCGCCAGCAAGTGCATAGTGACCCTCAGGCTCCTGCTTCGGTTCGTCTCGACACACATAACGTCACTATTTTCATCATTAAGTAAAGTGTTGTTATTCCTGTTCCTATTTCCTGTTGCTGTTACTGTCACACTTACTATCACTATCACTGTTCCTGTCCTTATCCCTATCCCTATCACCATCACTAGTACCAGTACTGGTACTAATACTAGTACTACTACTAGTACTGCTACTATTAAACTGTGTTTAGTTCTGACTATTACGATCATTGTTTCTATTCCACTTGCGTATATATTGAAATTGGTATTTCGGGTTAAGGTTACTCCCTGCTAGCTTGACCACTACTACAGATGCTTTCGGCTGCTTGCTGTACACCCGTCCTCTGCGAGATGCTCACCGAGAGGGTTAAAGTCGAATCATCCTTTTCTCGGAGGTAGCAATCATGGAGCACACGCCCTGGGATGCAAGAGGATGCCCAGAGATCTGGAGACATAGAAGCAGCGGGTGTGGGGTTCGGACGGTTAGGAGATAGAAAGCAGCTAGACATGGCTTCCGAACAAAAAGAACATCGTGGTCAGAATGTCATGGGCAAAGGCGCACAAGCATGAACAGTGCTCCGCCATCCATGCTTAAGTGCTTCCACACGCAAAGGCCGTCTCAGTTCGACCCTGGGTGCGTTTATTGCAGAAAACATTACTGTGTTGCGAGCATGGTCCTACATGAACCGACATCATCTCCGATCACAACTCCGATCGCTCGATCCTTACTGAGTGTACTGACGTGCGTCTAAGCTTGACGGGCTGTGCATTACCACCCCACGTCAGAACAAGAAATCCCAAGTTCGAAGCCATACATCAAACTTGAACCCCCAAACCCTCGACGCCCTACATCCGAAACTCTGAAACCCGAGAACACGACTCCTGTCTAAAGCTCCAGGTCGAAGCATCCGCCGAGTTGCGTTGCCGGGCTGCAGTGTTCGCACTTCGGGTCGATGCCTCGAAGGTGTGGGACTTCGGGTAGGGTTATAAGTAGGGTAACTATACTTATAACCCATAGTAGGGGACTTGTAGCCCTACTTATAACTGGCTTCAGGACTTACTTGGGACTTTGGCTTTAGAAGCTCGTCATTTGGAGTTGAGCTTGAGACTCCTGAAACACAAAGAACTGTAGGACAAGCGGCACACGCATCCCGCAATTTGATGATGCAGCTATCCGGTTCGCCAATCTTCGCAAACAGGGCAATGTGCACGAGGTCTGGGGCAATTGGAGTAGTCTTTCCTGTCGTGCTATGAACCGGGGTGCCACAGGTCTACGCTTCCACTAGCATTGTCGTCCGAACACGAAAGCAATCCGCCTCGCTGCTCCAACCTGAGATGCTGGGGCGTTCTATCAGGCCACTGCTGGGTGGGGTCCCTGCTAGACATAACCGTAACACGGTCGGGAGCCTGGGCGAGACATCGCGGTACACCAACGATCGGCGCTGGCTCAAGGAAGGAATGCGTGTTGCAAGAAATACGATTAAGAAGACGTGGAACGACTTCACAGCCGCAAACAGTCTTGTAGGAGAAGCAGCACGTGAGAATTTTGATCCCGGCTTGTCTGGTCTTCAGAGCTATGCTGCACCCAAAAGCCAGCGCACCGGAACCTTTGCCTCTGACGAGCCTGAGATCTACAAGTTGCAACCTGGACTCGATCCAACCGTCGCTGGAGTTGCAGACACACGGCCTCGATGGCGACATTGACACAGCAAGCACCGGATCGCAAAAAGCAATACGCCAAAATGAGCCTTTGATTCCACCTGGGATAACATGCTTCAACATGAACTCTGAACGGTTTGTTCCACGAGGCTCGCTCTGTGGCAGAAAGCGGAGCCGGGCGCATGCCAGTGGACGGAAGCCACGGCAAGCACAGCAGCCAAAGACGCATCGCAGCACATGGCAAGCTGCATGCGCATTTGATCTTGCTGCATGTTGCGCTCAATTGAAACCAACAGTGCTGCCACATGCCTGGTTGCAGGCATACCAGAACGAAGCAACTTCCAACCCAATGAAAGAAACACGTGCCAAAGGCGTCAGCAACATTGATCTCCGCTTGTTCGACTGCACGAGATCACAGCTAGTGAAGTGCTACGACAGGGTGCTGTCCAGGATGCACATCGTAAAAGCACACACTACCCTGCAGCTGAACGTGCAGATACATGCAGCATCACCGGGGCGCAGGAGAATCTTCTATGCTTCTTGCACTGAAGCCGTTCTACCTGGTTGAAGAGTTGTCTAGACTCGGCTTCTGTAGGCATTGTTCGTGCACGCACATGAAACCCAAGAGAGCTCGGGAAAAGAAGTTCTATCCTGCCGACAAACAGACAAAGCCAAAGCCTCTTATTATGATGCGAGACCCCTGCTGCGAGACCCCTGCTGCATTCTTGCCGGACATCGACGTCGAGGTCTCGAAAACTCAAACAACCGCACACAGACCCGCAACCTGCAAAAAACACACGCTGCATGAGGAGCATAGTGCCGTACACCGTCATCAAAATCCTTCATTACAGGTATGTTGTGACTGTTACTTTTACAAACACGATTGTTACGACTATGACTGTGACTATGACCGGTACCATTGCTGTTATTGCTCTCACTTCGATTACGATCATTGCGATCAATACTGATGCTTATGTTTTCTAGTACAAATTATGTTTTCCTCATAGTACTGCTACTAGCAACGAATAATGCCTACATCACGTCAGGACCATCATGCAATCTGCAGCTCTGTACAGTTCTGCACAAGCATCTGCCCGTAGACCGACTTGTGCGCACAACAAAAACCTTGACGAAGAATGCGAAGCTCTCAAGACTGGACTCGGTCAGAGGAAGGCGCGCAGGGCTCTCAATAGAGGTGGCGGAGATGCTGAAAAAAGAACTTGCCTGAGACCAAATCAAACTTGCAATCTGCGGTTTTTCTGCTTGGACTGATCTTCCTGGATGCGCACATTGGCGCTGTTGGGTGCTCAGGCTTTCGCTGCTGACGGCTACTGCGTCTCTGCATACGCCCGGAGCAGCAGCCTAGGCGAGAGCACAAGGGTGCGAGAAGATTCCATCGTGCCGATGCCCATCTCGCCAGCCGACAGACAGTTGAGACAAACAATTGAGAAAGGTTTGCCTGACCTTCCCTCTAACCCGAATGCCGTGAGCAGCTCCACTACTGCAAGGGTGGCTTCATGGCCTCGCGTGGCAACTGTTTTCGGATCGGCGGCTGATTGGTGATGGCCTTGATCTTCAGGTACGTCGCCACCACGGCTAAACCCACCACAAACATGCCTGAGAAGACAAGCGGGGAACAGAAGCAAAAGGTCTGAACTCATCTGCATTGGGCTTTGGATCTTTCAATTCGTAGTCGTGATATCTGGAACTGTCGCACTCACAACCGACATGTTTTGGGTTTTGTGTAAGCTCTCCACACAGTGTCAATGCACCATCAGCTCTTTCGAACTTGCTACTGCTCGATTCCCCAAAGCTTTCGTCATCTTCGGGGTATGTCATAATGTCATGATCTTAAAAGGCCCATGCAAAAGCCCCCTAAACCCTAAACCCTAAACCCTAAACCGCCAAGCCTACTCTGACCCAATATTCACCGGGCTGCACCCGCCGAGCAGGAGGCCCACTTGTCCGTGCTTGACGATACCTGGCATGGCTCAACAGGTTTAGGGTTTAGGGTTTAGGGTTTAGGGGTTTTAGGGTTTAGGGTTTAGGGGTTTAGGGGTTTAGGGGTTAGGGGTTTTAGGGTTTAGGGTTTAGGGTTTAGGGTTTAGGGGTTCAGGGTTCAGGGTTTAGGGGTTTTAGGGTTTAGGGTTTAGGGTTTAGGGGTTTAGGGGTTTAGGGGTTTTAGGGTTTAGGGTTTAGGGGTTTTAGGGTTTAGGGTTTAGGGGTTTTAGGGTTTAGGGTTTAGGGGTTTTAGGGTTTAGGGGTTTAGGTGTTTAGGGGAGGTTTAGTGTGACAGGTTTGGGGCTCAGGGGATTTGGGGCGTAGGGCCTAGGATTGGGGTTTAGGGCTGAGGGCTATGAGTTTATAAAGGCTCCAAAGGTCTCGGGGCTGGATGACGGCTGGCTGAAACTCATTAGGTCCGGAATCACAAAAGGATGAGGCTGCCTCTCACATCTTCGACAAGCCCGAGTCTCCTAGATCCGTGAAAAAGCAGAGCACCTGCCCTGCACATGCAGGGCACCTTGGAGGAGGATATCCAGGGCCCAGGCAACCTTGCTGCACAGCAAGGAACACAATCTCGCATCGGACCCTGGACAGGTCAAGAACTCGCCATCGCCGCAGCTACTTTTAGCTGCATGGTGTTACCCATTCCTCAATTTCCGGTTCCGCCGAGGCCTCTTTCGCTGCCATTCTGTCAAAGCGAAGGCTTCGCCAGGCTGGATTCGGTAGACAAGGAAACATGTAAACACTTCTTTGGGTGATGACCTCAATGACCCGGAGCGAAACTTGAACTGAACGCCAAGAGGCTACGCCCGCGATGAAGCTAAACGTTGGAGCTTCAACAATCCAGGAGATGCCTTGCGCCCACTCGCGAATGTGCTCATCCGGGACGAAGCCAATCATCATGTACAAGATCGTTGACATGATCCTCAGGATCGAATCCTACAGAAAGTCTGCCCATGGCCCATGGCTTCAGTCTTAAAGTACCTATAGCCCGGCTGTAAACCCAAAACCCCCATCATCCCTAAACCCAACACCCGGCCCGGCAGACGATGTTTCCCCTCCCTGCGGCTTATACCCAAAGGGACCACTTGCAGAGGCATCCGCAACGAGGCTGAAGGTTTAAGAGCTTCCATTAGCCACGGCTCACAGCTTTGAAGGTTTAAGGCTTTGGGGCCTTACAGTCTTACAATCCAGCATGCTCGGGGTCACAGTGGTAGTAGTATGTCACTGTTTAGGTTTAGGCTTGGTTTTGGGGTTCTAGATTATCAACTTACTGCCACAACCACTGTGATCGCAAGGCAAAGCGTCGCCGACACCGTACAAGATAGCATGGCCACGAAGGACAAGATGGGATGCAGGCTGTTGCAGACGGATGCACTTCGAAACAAGGACACCTCAGTTGGTCAGTCGTTTGCAATCGTAGTATAGTTGATGCACATCTGTCGACTGCTCTGGTTGTGCGCCGCTTACACCTTCACCCTTGCATCATGTGGCCGCAACCTTATGCATTCCATTTCGGACGGAAGGCCGCGTAGTCATCACACTCCACATTCTCTGTGAAGTTGCACATGGTGAGGATAAGTGCAGCAACCTTGCAAAGGCAGGTGCATTCCCTGAAGGCATTTTGATAGTACGCTCCAGCTCAATTCTTCTGCGGCTGGTTTCGTTCAAACCGCGAACAAGCATGAAGATATACTTCAGGAGTGGCTATGCTGATGTCAATGCGTATTGGAGCCTGTTGTGCGGCGGGAGTGCCTACATAATGCTCATGTCACCTTTCATGCCCAGCTCGTCTCGTATGGGTCAGGCTGGTCCTGCTCCTTCTCCAACAAGCCAATATCCACAGGTCTAGCTTAAGAAAAAATACTTTTCGCTCCTTCTCTCTCTCTCTCCTCTCCTCTCCCTCTCGATTCTTCTTCTTCGTCAGGACATGTCGGGCTGATATGACCCCTAGGCCGCATGGGCCCCCCATGTGCTATGGGGCGTTGCAGGAGCGTGAAAAACTGATCGAAGTTCCACCAAAGCCGACACAGAATGTATTGGACTATAGATTCTTTGGGCTATCTTTTTGTTGTTCTCTCTCTCTCTCTCTCTCTCTCTCTTAGGTATAACATTCGGAGTATGGTGAGGATATGCCATGTGCAGCAAAGGCTCTGAAATCTGCTGAATGGCTGAGAAAGAGCGATTCGGGGTTCAGGGGCGTGGCAGCCACTCTCACATACATCGCCACAAGACTGCCGCAAGGTTGAAAAGTGTTCAGGATTTAGAGCCGGCCAAAAACAAACGAATATCGCAGCCAGGGACCACACCAATCGTGCTCCATGCGCCTCCGGCGCGATCCCGGAAGCCTGAGCGAGGGCGTGATGGCACGAAGGGCCGGTAGTATTTCTGAACCAAACAGTCATTCAAACGCGGTCTTGGGTCTTGCACGTTCTACTGGGCAAAGGACTCCAGACATCGGCGATGACATTTCTGGTTGCCAAGCGACTCTGAGCATCCAGCTTCGCCGTGCCAAGGACTGGCAGCATCAGCAAGAATGGGGACCTCACGAGTGACCCACATCCCGCGGCCTCCGTCTGTATGGCTTCTAGCTAGTTCCGACTGTCGATACACTGTTGCGGCTTGCGCTCAGAATGTGTTCTTCTACAAGTAGGTTGTGGTCCCACGAGGAGGAAGACTGACTCAGAACGACGGGCCCGAGTGCATGCAACTCTTGCAACTGTCCCAACTAGTGAGAAATTCAGCACAGGTGGAAAGAGAAAATGGTCGCTGAGCATGCTCACCAGCTAGAGCAGATGAACTCGCGCAGCAACCCAAAACACCCAGCAACCAAAACACCTGCTCATGGCTGCCGTATCCTGCAAGATATCTTTCTTGAGGTCGTCAAGCTTGTCACCTGGTGCGACAATGCACAGAACTGCTTCTCTGAACAATTTCGACTGTTAAAGCCCGCAACAAAGAAAAAAAAACAGCTTCGTGTACTCTTCTGATCTGCGAGGCCCGCCTGTTGCCTCGTGAAACTTTCAAATATGATACTATACCGGTTAGGTACGGCCCCCATACAGTAAGAGTCTATAATAGGGCTACTACTACGGTCCTACTATACTATACCGGTTTCAACCTGTTACAGTCGGCTTCTGCTCATGCATCGATGCAGAAGCTGTGGTGCATCAAACCGACAAAGCAGATCTTCCCATACCTCCACGACAAACACGGCCACTTCCGACAAGCGACCCATCTGGTGAGTCATTGCGGATGCCGCAGCAGCCCAAGCCCCGCCACAAACAGTACAGCCCTCCGAACTGATGGAAACGAGACTTTGACCTCTTTATGAGGGGAGCCAAATTTGGCTACCGTCTCCCTACAAGATGGATAACTTCGCGTCGAACATGAAACGAACATGTGTACAGCCTGCCCCCACATTTTATCGAGCAGACACGATTTCGAGTCTTATGCAGCACTGTGCAACGCATCCTCACGCTGTCTCAGATCTCAGAGCTGGAAGCAAAGCTGCGGGACAAACAGCAGCAGGTGCGGCAAAGCTTGTTTTGTGTATTTGGGCACGGAACCATGGATGAGAAACACAATCCCAAGACCTTTAACACCGACCAACCCCTCACAGCTTCTGGATCATTCGACAACGCGAAAACCCTTCTGCTCAGAAAAAGGCCCGTGCACTTCCGCTTCGATGCAAAACCTGGATCCCTAAATACTTAACCTGACACCCGAGTCCCGAAACCCCAACCCTTAAACTCCTGAAATCATCATCCCTAAAACCTAAGCCCGTTGAGAGCACCACTCAGAAGCTCAGCGACCTCGGTTAAGGCTTTCTGAGGCTTCTGAGGGCTGTGGGATGCTGTGGGTCTACATCTTCAAGGGCTTGTGGAGTAGGGATGAGCAGGGCTCAAGCTGCTGTCTCACTTTTTCAGGTTCCGGGGTTTCAGCCTGAGCTAAAGCTAAAGCCCCTGATACCCTAAACATCCTCGACTTTGGTGCTTGATGCTCAGGGGAAAGCGGTGATAGCGAATAGGCTTCAAGGTCGTAAGGTGGATGTTTTTGAGAATTCGTGCTTCTGGTCGGCATGCTTCTGCTTACAAGTGCTTCCCCAGTTTGCGATCTATACTATTCTGTAACTCCGAGGGCACAATGATCCTGGTCTTTGGGATTATTTGCCTGGAACCAGAACTCTTCTTGGCACACTTGACGTTGAAAGCTACCGCAGTGGGGATGGCTACAGGGCATAGCTTTGGATATTTGAGCTACTAGCTTCACTGTGTGTAGCTCTTACCTAGCAGACCAAGCTCCGCACTGCTTGCACCGGTGCTGCAGACGGCCTTTGAACAGGAAAAACGTGTGAGATGGTGGGGAGGTGAGGCGTGCATGCAGCACTCCTTGTCATGGCTTGAGGGCTGCATTTCAAAAATGAAGTTCTTTCTCCCAAGCTTCCGGGAAGCTTGACATGGCAATCGAAAGCCAACATCAGCCACATGTTGAAGCTTCAGGTGTTGAAGCAGTGCTCGATCGCCTCACTGTAGAGCCCACAGACAACTCAAGTAAGAGCCGCAGGGGGCGCCCTATCCCAAACCCCAAACATTTCATGGGCCTGCGTTGAGGCGCTGCGCTGCTCTCAACCTGAGGGGGGTTGGGATGGTCTGGGGCCTCCGTTGGATTCCGCTGGGATCGGGATCCTCTCGTTTGCTATTGCGATGCAACTCGACTCCTCGCTGCAAAACCAAGAGAAATCTGTCAGTGTCCCAACATGTGTGGCAAATTCAGCACGTCGACTCGGTATAGTTCGGTAGGGGCGAGTTGGTCAAGCGTATTCATGTCCACATCAGCGCAACTCAGTGCAAAGCTGTATCACCGGCTTCAGCAATGCTCACCTGCTGCCGGACGAATCGCCAGTCGGGATCTACTTTCCGGCAGGCTCTAAGACTGTAAGATCCAAGGCCCTGATACCTGAAGGCGCACCTGCACACGCTGTCTGTCTGGAGTCTCGAACAGCCTCGATCAACGGCCAAAAAGGTCGGCGCTATGCGACATAGCCATTAATGGACTCTGTACACAGTGGTTGACTGGACAGCCGGACTCTGTACACAGTGGGCGACTACGGGCGACTGTACAGCCACACTCGTGATCCGGCAGGGCGCCCTAATCAACAAAAAAAAGACGCAAGGCAAAAGCGGGCAAAAGAAACAGAAGCCACAGCGCTTCTTTCGGAGAAGGCAGCGAGCGCGACCAAAGCTCGAGCCTTGTCTAAATATGCGATGACGGGAACCCCTGGCCAGCTGCGGATCCGAGGATGCGCAACCGGATCTGCGAAAGACTGGTACAACCGGCCAGCTTCATCGTGGTTTCAAGCTCATCGTAGAGCAGCCGCATCATTCGTGAGACGCCCTGCTCGCCCCCGACAGCTAGGGCATACACAGCAGGACGTGCGAACATGACTGCACTCGCACCGAGCCCAATAGCCTTGAAAACGTCGGTGCCGCGCCGAAACCCACCGTCGATGAAGACGGGGATCTGACCCCGAACTTCCTCGGCGATAGCGGGCAGCACATCAATCGTGGCCGGGACGGAGTCTAGCTGCCGGCCTCCGTGGTTGGACACGACGATGGCTGCAGCTCCTGCTTTGATCGCCTCCCTAGCATCCAGTGGGTGCATGACTCCCTTAGCAATGATGGGAAGGTTGCAAACGGACTTGAGCCAGGCAATAATGCTCCAATCGAGGGTGAGGTCCTTCTGTGCTTCGAACTCCACAAGCTGCTGGTTCACGACATTTCCCAACATCGTGATGTTCGGGAGCTGTCCCATGGCGTCCGATGTAGCATATCCTGTACGGATGTCGCGCTCCCGACGACCGGTGATGGGGGCATCGACTGTGAGACACAAAGCTTTGTAGCCCAGGGCTTCGGCTTTCTTGACGATGAGCTCGGTGATGTCACGACGCTTGAAGACATAGAGCTGAAACATTAGGCCTTTCGGGCGGCCGTCGTGGTCAGTTGGCACGGCGTTGGCAACGTCCTCCATGGACATGTTGCTCAGGGAGGAGAGCGTGAACGCGGAGCCCGCACGAACTGCAGCCCGCGCCGTCGCTTTCTCGGCATCCGGGTGTGCCTGGCCGTGCATCGCGGACGGCGCGATCATCACTGGGAAGCGGCAATCAATTCCGAAGAAAGAGCACCGCATGTCAACGTTCGTGACCGGGATGAGTACCCTGGGAATGATGCGATACTTCTCGAAAGCAGAACGATTCTCCTTCAAGGTCCACTCGTCGGTGGCCCCGCCCTTGTAGTACTCAAAGCAGGGGCCGGCGATCATATCTCGAGCATAATGCTCAAAGTCGTCGAGGTTCATGCACACCTCATGGATCCGACCGGCTTTGACTGCATGGGCCTCCTGCGAGCGGCAGCTCATGCGCTGTGGGAGGTAGTAGCCAGGGCCGATGCTACAGGTCTGCTGGAAAGCACTGCTGATCCCCTTCGCTCGCTCGTTTGCTTGGCGATTGCGGACGGCCCGGTAGCCGCGGTGAAGGGAATCGGTGACCTCGGCCATTGCAGGGTTGGTCCCGACGATGTCAGAGTGCATGCGCATGTTCTTCCGTCCCTTGGAGCTCTCCTTCTCCTCGTCCACGTCGGCGTTGTGCGCCACCTGACCGTTCAGGAGGGTGCTGGAGATCTTCACGCGTGCCCCGGCCTCGGCTACACAGTTGATGCCCAGCTCGGACCGATTCTCCAAGTAGGTGCGGCGAAAGATTAGCGTGCCTTTCTCCACGGAGTGCGAGAAAAGTAGGGAGGAGTGATTCACCACGCTGTTGTTGCCCACATGCTTGAGGTCGTACTCGCAGCCCACGGACGAGCCCATGATGCAAACGTTGCTGCCCACCCGTGCACCCATCAGCCGGTACCAGATCGCGAGGAAGGTGGTGCCGCACAAGGACTGCAGGAAGAAGACGTCTGCATCGAAGAGGACGGCTTCGAAGGCGATCCAGATCACGTACCGGAACCCGAAGAGCGGAACTTCTCGAGGACGGAACCGGCACGCAATGAGCCACTTGGCGACCGGGATGAGCAAGATCTTCGACGTCATGATGACCAGCATCAAGACCGGGATGAAAGGCCAAGTGCCAACTTCGACCGGCATCACCGCGGACATTGCATCTGCTATGAAGCCGGCGGCGATGTAACCCGGCACATGCAAGCCCACACAGAGGAAGAGCTGGAGGATGAAAAGCAAAACCTGGAAGAAGGTGTACTCCAGAAAAGAGGCCGGAGGAGGTGTGGACACTGACGATCGCTTCATCAAGATGTACGCCATGACGTCTGAGTTGTCTCGGACGGCGACCATCCTCTCTGGCAGCTCCTTGCCGGCGGGCACACAGACGCCGTCTCCCACTATCGAGTGCTCGTCGATGCGGACACCAGGGCCCAGCACGACGGTGTTCGCGACAATGGCCTTGGACTTCAGCCGGATGCTCTGGGAATCGCTGTGGTCCAAGGACGTTGTCAAAAGGGCGACATTTCCTGCGACGATGCAATCGTCACCGATCTCCACGAGCTCGGGATCTGGGATGAAAGGTGCACAGAAGTAGGCTCGACTTCCGATGCAACAGCCAAGGAGTCGGAACTGGAGCTTTGTGATGTGGCTCATCACTGTGAGCTGTGTGGCGAGACGGAATAAGGGGCAGTCAATCAGCACTATGTAGAGCCACTGCTTCCACACGCGGCTGCTGCGGTCTGCGGTCTCGGTTGTATAGCCCACGATCAAGTGCTTCAGCAGCACGACACCCACGAAGTACGCCTGCGGGACGACATAAAAGATGACAGCAGGAAGAATCGTCCAAAAGACTACGTCGAATTCACCTGTTTCTCGAAGGGTCGTCGTGCCCGTAACTCCTTCGGCCCAGAGGGGCAGCAGGACCACGATGTGGGAGAGCGAGCTCACGGGAAGATGGCTCATCACAGCCGCGCCGGCCGTCACTGACAGAACGACGAGGCTGCTTGCAATGTAATACAGCACGCAGCCCGCCAAGAAATCCCATGGAGGGCTCAAAAACTTCTTCTTCAGGCTCTCACCTTCCGCAGCAGGAGAAGCCCGCATGGGCTGTGACGCTGACACTGCCTGCAACGGCCGCACCTGACTACCAGGTTCCAGTGTGACGGTCGGAGCGATCGTAGCGCCATAGCCCACGTAGCAGTCCCTTTCGATGACCACCCGCCCGAGGATCACGTGCCCTCCCTTTGCCATGGTTACATGGCCGGGTTGAATGTTGCAGGCACGGTCGACTACTGCACCGTGTCGGATTCGGAGAAGGTCCAAATCGGTCAGGTTCGACGTGTGTAGCTCGGCCTCGTAGGAGATGTGGGCGCCACAACGGTTGCAAAAGAAGATCAGTATCGGTGTTCCTCTGAACATGGCCAGGAATCCATCCAAGCTCTGAAACAAGTTGTACACGGTCAGCCACCTGTAGTAGGATGGCGACCAAAGTGGTATGACCCCCGGTCGGACTTGCCCGATGAGGAGCCACTTGAAGACGACTGCAACGCACAGAAGGAGCAGAATCGAGATAGGGTATATCAATGGAAGGAAGATCAGCGTCCAATAGCAGTCCGGGCAGAAGTAGTGGTTCTCCATCAAGTCCATCCACAACAAGCCTGCCCAAGCGACGAAGATCACCGGTGCGGTAAGGACGAGAGGGCGCACAATCAGCGACAAGAGTTGCAAGACCAAGCAGATCGGATTCCACTGTCCCCACTTGTTCTCCGGCTGTTCGTCCATGGCCGCAAGCTGCAAAAGGTCCGGAGGGGGCTCAGTGTCCCCCCTGTCCTGGACCAGAACCAGATCCTCGCGACTTTCGATGTACTGCAGCAGGTCGGCGAGGCAGTCGTTCTCGAAGAGCAAAGTCGGCGACAGCCCACCCTGCAAAGTGCCCGCCAGGAGGTTGATCACTCTTGTGAACTCCATGGAGGCCATGTTCAGGTCCATGAACGGCACGTCATAGTCTTCATCGGTGACATCACGACCCAGGACCGAGGCGACTGCCCCAAGGACCGCTGCTTCCTTCGAGGCAAAGAGGTGAACGGCCGGCTTATCCTCGTGCTGTGCCAAGCATTGCTCTCGGATCTTTTGCTTCTTGGGCTTCCCTGAGCCCGTCATGGGGAACTCCTCCTGTCGCCAGACGTGGACGGCGACAGGGACCTTATACGCCGCAAGGCTGTCGGCGCAAGTCCTGCAGAGCTTCTGCTCGATCTCATCATCACGAAGGTTCAGGAGCGGGCCATGCGGATCCAGCATGAGGGCAGCGTGGACAACCTCCCCTAGCGCTTCGTCGGGGCCTCCGAACACCGCCGAGCGAAGGATGCCAGGAATCCTCTGAATCACCTGTTCCACCTCCACGGCAAAGACGTTTTCTCCGCCGACGATGATCATGTCCTTGGAGCGACCGCTAATGTACAGCTGGCCCTTCTCGTTCTTATAACCCAAGTCTCCGGAGCGGAAGAAGCCTGAAGCCGTGAATGCCTTGGCGTTGGCCTCGACATTGTTGTCGTAGCCCGCAAAGACGGTCGGCCCCCGGATACTGATCTCTCCCACTGTTCCGGCCGAGACCTCCTCGTCCGCTTCGTTTAAGACTCGTAGGTCGAGGCCTGGCAGCACCGTCATCCCGTCCTCCATGGGCTCCAACGACTCATTTTTGAAGGAGCAGTGGACTGTAGCTTCTGTCATGCCATAGCCTTGGATGAACTGGCAGCCAAACACCTCCTTCGTCAGCTTGATCACATCAGCCGTGGGCTTCATGCCTCCTGTAAGGACCCACTTGAGGTTATCGAAGCGCATGCTTCGAGTCTTTTCCGCCGAGAGCAGGTACTTCAGGATCGTTGGCATCAACTTCACAATGCTCACCCTGTCGTCTGCCATCATCGCTGCAACTTCCATGAACTGGAATTGATTCTCATGGAAGACCTGGCGCGCGCCGAGCATGACGCTGATCCACACAAAGGCCGGTGTTCCAACGTGGAAGAGCGGCCCGAAGTGGCCCCAGACATCCGAATCGTTCTCTTTGAGGTTCAGCGCCCTGATCGTACTCAGGCTGTGGTAATGGACATTCCTGTGGGTGTGAGACACACTCTTGGGCACGCCGGTGGTGCCGGAGGTAAAGAATCCTTGGAGCTGCGTGTCCTCCTTCACAGGGGTTGCCTGGAAGGTCGTGCCATCACCACGGTAGAGCTCCGTGAGGGAAAGCTGCTCGAGGTGTGGATCGCTAAACGCTCCGGGAGTTTCAAACACCCAGGCGATTGCTTGAATCTTGGCGCTTGCCCAAGCAACCTGGCCAAGGAGAGCGCCAAAGCTGCTGTTCGCGATAAGGAGACGACTGGTTCCACGTTCGAAAAGTACCTGAAGCTCTTCCAGCTTCAGCCGGTGGTTCAGGCACACCATCTTGGCTCGTGTCGCAGCCGCTGCCAAAAAGAGGTCCACGTGCGTGGGGCAGTTCGGCATCAGCACTGAGAATGATGGCTGGCATTGCTCGAAGTCGAACTCCGAGAGCATTTGTCCCAAGGAAACGCTGAGGCATTGCACCTTCTCCAAAACCTCCCTGTAGGTTACAGGCCCAGCACTTGTAGCGTAGGCGATGTTGCCTCCAAATTTCTCGCAGGACTGGCAAATGGTCCGCCACATGTCCGGAGACATGTTATTGTTATCATCAGGCGTGGCATCCACCTGCTGGCCACGTCCATCCATGTTTCAAGCCCTGCTTCCCAAAAAAATGTATGTCCCTTTGAGCGTTCCTAGCTTTCTGTGAGTTTTTCACCTACGCCTTCTTGAGCCAATGGCTACGGAAGCAAATCAAAACCCCAAATCCTACACCTTTGTGCCCATTTGTGCCCTAGTATACTCATCTCATCGATCCTGGGCTGTGCCTCCACAGCGACCTCGCCTTGCAGTCGATCGAGTAGCCTGAGTAGTGATGGACACGAATAATACAACAAGTAAACGTACGATAATCAAACTTCCGCAATAACACTATCACAATTATGAACGATGTTAAGGCCAACACCACATCGGGTACTAGACCACAAGCTATTTGCACACCGAAGAAAAAAGGACGACCTACCAAACCACCATGACCACCAGGATCACCACGACGACCGGCAGCACCACCAGGACCACGAGGACCACCAGGAGACGAGTAGACCAGCAGGAGACCAAGGCGAAAGCCCTTCCCTGCCGTCCGGCTTGATTCAGCCTTCCCAAGGCAAGGTTTCCCAAAATGCTTTCCTGCCTTGTCCGGTGGGTTTCGAGCATTTTCAGCGCCCCACGACCAAAATGCTTTCATACCTTGAACGGTGGGAGTGAGCCTCTACTGTAGTGGCAAACCGCTTACCCACTTTGTCTGTTGGATTTGTGGAAGACAAGAAGAAGGCTCATCTGGTTAAACTTCCAATGAGTTCGCCTTTCCAGGCGACTGCGTTCAGCGTGAGACCGTCGAAATACTGCGATTTTAAGCGGAATTGTGCACCGCACTACAATCAGTTCCGCAGAACTGCTGCGTGTGGAGGCACCTGCCTCTCGCAGCCGTGGACCTAATCCCTCTACGCGAAGTGACTCCGTAGTTATGATCTGTATTACTGTAGTACCGCTGCAAGTTGCAAATGTAGCCTGGCTTCGAGTAGTTTCCACATGTCACAAGCGGCGCTGCTATCCCTTGGTCAACAGCCTCTGCAATCAAGGTCGATGCAGTGTCGCCGAACATGTGTACTGCTCCGGGGTTCGGTTGGGAGTGCGTGCGTGCGTTAACTCGACAACCAGGCTAGCTAAAGTGCAGAGTGCAGAACTCGGAGAGCTGCAGGCAGAATGCTGTGCTGTAGCTTCGCCAAGGGCCCGACTGAAGGTCGTCATCCGAGAATCTGACATTAGCCTGGTCAAGTGCCAAGACTGTTCTGGATGACGGTTTAGCATGTATATCATCCACTACGTCGGCACGCTGCACCTGCCTACACGACGTGATGGGATACTGTTTTGGATGCACCCGACCAGCAAAGCCTGTACCTGGATACAGCTTGAGGATGCTTGCTGGGCCATGACGAGGCTCAGCAGCTTCTTCTGTTTCGAGGGTCCCAGACTAAGTAAATAAAAAGCTTCCTCGTGCAAGTGACTCGCGGCCCCTTGATACCTCAAACACTCTGAACCCCACAACCCTGAACCCCTCAGCTCCTAAACCCTCAGCCTTTAGAACCTCAAAGACTCAGAGCCTCAAATCTTCTGGCAGCTGCAACTTCTCTGATCCAGGCAGTTTGGACATCAAGGGAAGCCTTAACTCAACTAGGAGTCGAGCTCCTACTTGTACCTTTTCTGCTCCACGACTTCAAAATCCGTAACATTCCTCCCCAAACAGGGCCGCGCTAGGTGCCTCGACCACACGATCAGCATCCGTTGGGGGCCGCCGCTGCCACCCTGGCATTTGGGGCCCCCCCAACGTTGTGTCCTACTTTGATACGGATTGATACATGTATCCTTCAACGGGACATAGCAGGACCTTGGCTCGCCGCTTGCATTGCTAATGCCATTACATAGTTCCGGGACTTCATTATGGCAGGGCTCGTCGATCTCGCACTTGTGGCCCCCTGGGCCTGAGTCGTCGTCCCGCTGACCGCCGTCGCCTTGGGGTCTGAAAATGGACCCCGAACTCCGAAAAAAAAACCTCTCCGAAATCCATAGCCGGTTGTGTGCATCTAGGTCGAGATGCTGAGCCCAAACCATGCAATGGAAACTTGCCAACTTGACCTGTCTCTGCAATTCGGACGTGCATCGGTATCTGTTGCACTTCTCCTGCTGGGTAATCAATCAACTTTACAAAGTCTACCCCTGCATGGCCTCATCTACAGGCGTGCATATTTTCTCATGGATGCCCCGATCAGCCAGGATCCGTCCATGGTCGTGACGGTCTTGAGCGGCCAACGCACTCCCAGCAACTGAAGGGTGCGGTCGTGTAGCAGCGGCAACCTTGAAGGAACATGTGTAAAGTGTAAACCATGTCACGCCGACGATCGTAACCGAAACTGGAAAGGCATAATCTTCGTGCTTCTAAAAGTATTGGTAACTGACTTTGAAACCATTGGGCTTTAAGCCTTTAGGCGTTACCAGTGCCGCAGCCCTTAGAGATGACCAAAGCTGCCTGCACCAGGCCTTCTTGAAATCCTTCTAGCATGGCCACTTCTCTTTCGGGCCCAAGTGTAGCAGCCTAGTCTAGCTGGGCAGCGGGAGACTGCGGAGGATGAAACGAGCCCACTCCAAAACACTGCGTCTTTCTGGTTTCACAATGATCCGAATGTATCTTCACAAAATGTATATGAAGGAAAGAAAACAATCGCAAATATGTTGGAAGATCCAATCCTTGAATGTATTATAAAATTGGTTCTCGGAAGAGCGCTCTCTTTTTCGCGGTCAGGGGTTCGTCACAGCAAGGCGAGTTCGGAACTTTGCAAAGCGGTGCCGATTCCGCTCTATCCGGAGGTACGGTTGAGGCACGAGCGATTATGCGTTGGATGCGCAATAGCTCAATGTGCATGGTATACCGCTTCTGCCCCAACAGGCATAACCCCCCCACCATAGGTGCGCACAGAGCCAAAGCCCAAAGGGTGGGAGGGCGGGTGAAGAAATTTAGAACAGCTCTGCACTGTGCATGTCTGTGGTGCGTTATATGCCAGACATGTAATGTTGCACATGTGCCGAACGAGCCATGCTGATGAAGCGGCGCCGGTAGACACGCCCATTTTCCAACACGTTTGCCCAGTTCAAACATGCACACGGTTGTTGAAAAGTTGTTCGAAGTTACAAACAAAAGTTTGCAAAACCCTCCTCAACAAAACATGAAAAGAAGTCATGTAAATTTACATGACCAATGAAAAAGAAAATGTATAATTGAATCATTGCGCTGCTGAGCGGCAGCTTTAAAAACAGGATAGACAACTAAGTCGCTTCGCGACCTCGCCGTTTTTCTGTGTTCACAATGATCCGAATATATCTTCACAAAGTGTATATAAGGGAAAGAGAACAATCGCAAATATGTTGGAGGAGTCAATGCTTGAATGTAATTTAGCACAGCTCTGCCCTGTGCATGTCTGTGTTGCGTGATATGCCAGACATGTAATGTTGCACATGTGCCGAACGAGCCATGCTGATGAAGCGGCGCCGGTAGACACGCCCATTTTCCAACACGTTTGCCCAGTTCAAACATGCACACGGTTGTTGAAAAGTTGTTCGAAGTTACAAACAAAAGTTTGCAAAACCCTCCTCAACAAAACATGAAAAGCAGTCATGTAAATTTACATGACCAATGAAAAAGAAAATGTATAATTGAATCATTGCGCTGCTGAGCGGCAGCTTTAAAAACAGGATAGACAACTAAGTCGCTTCGCGACCTCGCCGTTTTTCTGTGTTCACAATGATCCGAATATATCTTCACAAAGTGTATATAAGGGAAAGAGAACAATCGCAAATATGTTGGAGGAGTCAATGCTTGAATGTAATTTAGCACAGCTCTGCCCTGTGCATGTCTGTGTTGCGTGATATGCCAGACATGTAATGTTGCACATGTGCCGAACGAGCCATGCTGATGAAGCGGCGCCGGTAGACACGCCCATTTTCCAACACGTTTGCCCAGTTCAAACATGCACACGGTTGTTGAAAAGTTGTTCGAAGTTACAAACAAAAGTTTGCAAAACCCTCCTCAACAAAACATGAAAAGAAGTCATGTAAATTTACATGACCAATCAAAAGGAAAATATATAATTGAATCATTGCATTGCTGAGCGGCAGCTTTGAAAACAGGATAGACAACTCATTTGCTTCGCGAACTCGCCGTCTTGTCATAACCCGCTTTAAAAGTGACCTGTATCACTTGAGCAGCTTCCAAGGTATCTGTACAATGGATCTACACTTGTCGCACAGTTCGCCTGCCTTCTCCTGCAGGCTGACTGTCACACCGCCAATCAACGTTGCCGGCACCTCTATCTCTCCACGACTCGGGGCGTCATTGTTTTTTCATTCACACGCTTTAGTCGAGTCGACTATTCAGCGGGCGATGCGTGCTCATGTCAACCAGTGGACATACGAACGGCCTGGTTAGGTACGCCGGACTACTACTGCCGCTTCCCAAGGCGGCGGCCGTCTGTTGCGGCCAAGAAAAGAGTGCTATATACCACGTCCTATTGATCTCTTTGAGGTCAGTAGTGTTTGCACTCGGGGCGTCATTTTTCATTCACACGCTGTAGTCGAGTCGACTATTCAGCGGGCGCTACGTACTTATGTCAACCGGTGGACATAAGAACGGCCTGCATAAGCAGGCCGGACAACTACACTCCGCTTCCCAAGGCGGCCCGCAACGAAAAGAAAATTGCATGCCACGTCCTGCTGTAAAGCACGTGAAAGGAGGACATGTGAAATGCAACCAAGGCAAAAGTCCCTCAGCGCGGGCTTACTCTGTCTACATGCACCTTGAAACGGGCTGTGCACTGCCCCAAAGTGCAGCAAGTAGGGCCGTCTGACGGCGCCCGAAGCAGAAGGGCCGACAGTCGGCACCCAAAGCACAGGGGATGAGCACCTCCTTTCGGCTTCTTTCAAAAAGGGCGCCCGCGCCAGCCCCGAAGGGCCAGACCGTCAAAAGCAGCTGCAACAAAGGCTTTCTCGCGCTTACTGACCTGAAGCCACAGCATTTCTGCACGTTCTCAGAGAAATCGACA